GAGCTGTTTTCCAGCAGGTCAGCCCCCAGCCTGTCCTGGTGCATGGGGTTATTTCTCTCCAGGTACACGACCTTGCCTTTGCCTTGGTTGAACTTCAGGAGGTTCCTCTCTGCCCAACTCTCCAGCCTGTCGAGGTCTCTCGGAATGGCAGCACAGCCTTCTGTTATCTCAGCCACTCCCCCCAGTTTGGCATCATCAGCAAACTTGCTGAGGGTGCGCTCTGTCCCTTCATCCACGTCACTGAGGACTATGTTGAACAAGACTGCACCCAGTATCGGCCCCGGGGAACGCCGCTAGCTACAGACCTCCAACTAGACTGTGTGCCACAGATCACAACCCTCTGAGCTCTGCCATTCAGCCAGTTCTCAGTCCACCTCACCGTCCGCTCATCCAGCCCACACTTCCAAAGCTTGCCTATGAGGATGTGACGGGAGACGGTGTCCAAAGCCTTGCTGAGGTCCAGGTAGACAACATCCACTGCTCTGCCCTCCTCTACGCAGCCACTCGTTCCACCAGAGAAGGCTATGAGGTTGGTCAAGCATGATTTCCCTTTGGTGAATCCATGCTTTGACTACTCCTGATCACCTTCTTGTCCTCCGCATGCTTAGTGAGGACCTCCAGGATGAGCTGTTCCATCACCTTTCCAGGGATGGAGGGGAGGCTGACTGGCCTATGCTTCCTGGGGTCCTCCTTCTCGGCCTTTTTGAAGACTGCAGCGACACTGGCTTTCTTCCAGTCCTCAGGCACCTCTCCTGTTCTCCATGACCTTTCAAAGATGATCGAGAGTAGCCTAGCAATACATTTATTGTTAGTGTTTTATGAAAATAAGAAGGAAATGCTGTGAGAACTTGCTTCCCCCTTATAAAACTCTCCTCACTCAACCACCCATGCCTCTGTGAAGTAGAGAAGGCATTTTACTCTGTAGGCTAAGAGGAGAAAATGAGGATGGAGGTTTTGCTGAAGTGTCCTAGAATGTCTCAGAATAACCACCAGACAAACATCCTTGCATGGTAGTGTGTGCATGCAAATGGATGATGATGTGTCACTGTAACATAGCGTTTCGGAATCGGGGTGTTGAGCAGATTATTTCTTGCCTGTGATTGTTCAGGTGTTGGAGATAGAGTTTTAGTGTTCTCTGAGTTAAATATTTAACAGAATTGATTCTGGCTTGGTGCAGCAAACGAGCGTGACACTCGCAAACTCTGGAAAAATATTGAACCTCATTTGAAGAAGGCAATGCAGACAGTTTATCTCCGGGAAATATCGAGGTAATCTACCCCCTCCTTTTTTTTTTTTTTTTTCAAAACTCTAGCAAGCTTCCTCCCTCAATGTTTATTTAAAATCTCAAGTAAATTTCATGGGTAGTGTTTCTTTTTCTCTAGAAAAAATTTTTTTTGCTCTTTAGACATGCATTTCTTTCTTGCCCTATAGTGGTACACATAGGGTTCCTTAGGAAAGAAATTTTTAAGCAAAGCTATATTTGAGGCATATAAAGTTATTAAACAAGTAAAGCAGGAAAAGCAGGTTGTGGTCTTTTCTTCACTAATGGTCATGCAGACAGATAAGTTTTGTCATGTGTGGAACTGTTAAGCATGGGACTCCAACATCAAAATGTATGGTGAAAACACAAGTTGACTTGGCAGATCTTACTGTGCCATAGATGAATGTCAGCCTCCAAATTCTGTAAGACTTTACACACATTGAATGTCTGTGTTCCTTAGCTTTGTTTACTAGAGCTGGATTTATACATTTACTATGCTTTATCCGACCCTTGTTTAACTGTTCATAGGTAAAATTTTCCTTATATGGAATTATCATTTTTGACAGCTTTAAGAGTTTTTTTTTTTTTTTTAATCTTGCCAGGGTGCTAGAAAAAGGATCATAATGTTCCTTTTTTTAACGGTAACAATGGTCTTGGGCTTAATTTCTTCTCCATTTTTAAGATTTGTGATTCTGATATTACAACATGTAAACAGAGGTAATCTGTTAGTTTCTCTGTCCTGATGCAAATGTGATGATGTCTTCCGTTTGAATGTCATTTAGGCTACAGAATATTCTGGTAACTGAACCTGGGTGTGTAGTAAAACTCATTGCTAAATGTCTTGGAGAAGTGATTATTCCTCCAAAAAGACAATTGATTTCTCTCCCAATGAGTTAGCCTTCACTGCGTAATGAGATATTAATCTCTTTGCTTTAAACACATATTATAGCAAGTATTGATTTTCATTGCACAGTCTACTCAGGATCTTCCTAACTTCTTATATTCTGTAATTGCCTGCTCTAATTAAGGTGTAATATAACAGTATGATATAAAACAACTTATGAATTATTTCAAAATAACTAGTTTTCCCTCTTTGGTGTTTTCTGCGATTGTAAATTTGAGCTTTCTGCATAATAATTATAGGATTTATGTCTGTGTATCTGTAAATGCTTGAGGAATTAAAACAACTGTATCAATTTTTCTGGCCACATAACTGTAATTACTCTGGGGTTTTCTTCAAGTTGTAAAATGCAGCAATAGGACTTTTATCAGCTTTTCTGCTGCTGAAACTGAGATGAAAATGAAGCTTTTCTACATGTAAATATGTACATGTAAATAAGAGATGGGGTAAAAACTTTGTAGAGGATAATGTGGTTGCTCATTCATTTAGAGCTACATCAGCTCTCATAAACTTTGCATAAGTTTTATGGGTCAAGGCTGATAAAAACGTAGTGCATGAAACAAAAGTCGGAGACAGGGTTTTAACTGAGATACTGCATGAAGATCTCCGTAAATCGGTGATACTGTAACAAAGTAAGGTATTGGGGTCTTTTTCCCCCTATATGACTGGATGAAATAGAATCATGACATTTCTAACAGTGTTGCGTCTTAATGGAAGCTTCAAAGTGAAATTTTTGCAGCTGTTTAGGGAAGCACCAAACTAGTTGCAGTTATTTGTTTCCACTGACAAAATGTTTATTTTGATGTCTGCAGAGACTTTCAGTGAAGAGTGAGTATTGCTTTGTTTTTTACGTGGACTTGAAAATTACGTTATGGCATAATTATAGTATTGTTCTCATATATAAATACAGTTATTAGGTCAGCAAAAAATCAAAGCTATCAGTGTCTTTACTTTTTATCTAATATTGCATTATTCTTGCAACTTAAAACACTATTGATATTTGCCTACTGGTGATGTTGGATGAAAATAAATTACTATTGGATAATTAATTTACACTCAATATTATGTTAAGATCTATGACTAAACATATTTTCTGTAGCTTCTTCAAATATGCTTAAGTTTCAAGAATGTGCAGGCTTTATATGCAAAATAGTAAGACTTAGTATTTTTAGTTATTATCTTAACTGTTTTCAACACAGTGTCTTGAAGCTAAAATTAACAGATACTAACCGGGTAGTTCTCAGTAAAAGAGGGTTTAACCTAGGAATAACATATACTTAGTATAAATACTTGCATTATCTGTCTTTTAGCTCCCAGTGGGAACGCTTACAGCGTGATGGTGGAGAACTTGGGCAATTTAAAGGTATCAGATACAGTAACTCTGTATGGGCTTGTAATGTAAAATATGTACTTTTAGGATTGACTTGGTTGCTCTTATCTGATAATGCATGAATGAAATTAATACGAACTAGACTGCCTATTAGCATTGAGTTTCAGTCTAGGTAAATTAGATTTTTGGAGAAAGCCTTCTCCAAAGAACTTCTACCATCTTTTCCCTTAGCATATTTCCTGGGAGTTGTCGCTCCTATGGCCCGATGTGGGCAAAATCAGGTTTCCATAAAATCAGTATTCTCATGTAACAGTGGATGAGGAATGCGCAGAATTGTCTGAGCGTGGAGAAGGCAGTATTACATTAACACATTCCTAAACAAAATAGGCATCGTCTGTCCTTGTTTCTTGGTGAAGGGCAATGTCAGAATTGCAAGGATTGATTCTCTTTCTATTCCTTTGTTGAAGCAGTACAGCTGTGTGGATTTTGCACTTTACACAGGGCTGTCTCTGTTAGTGTTCATTGACAGTTTAGGAAGGATTATTGAAATATTTTCTTGTTGATATCAGTCGGTCATGGCTCGTTTATCAGGTTTTAATTTGAGGACACTTTTTCCATATTATCTGTCATGATAAGTAATTTATTCGTTAGACAGTAGATAAAACAGCCACCTTTTAAAACTGTCTGTTAAGATAATTGCTGTCGTTGGAATGTGCATCCTATATTTGCTTTATAATCAGTATTTTTTTACGTTATTGACCAAAGGAGTTTGAATCAAAGTGTTCTTATTAAATTCTCTCCCTCCTTGCCCAGAGAACCGTGAAATACTTTTGCATCTGACAGCTCTAAAAGGAGAGGTTTTATTCAAAATATTTTTTCCAGGATTTTTAGGTATATGCAGTAAGAGAGATTGTCTTGTTGGTATCTGACAATAATACTTCACTTAAAAAGCAAATGCAATAAATTTTACTGTGGGTATAACTAAGCACATCGTTCGATGCATAATGCTAATATTGACAGATCAAAAAAATGGGAGAGAAACACAGACGTTTCTATACTAAGTTAAATTGTCTATAGGTAAGAATTTCTTTAATTTGATATTGCATTTTGTAATTAACATTCAGTACAAAACGTCCTCTTGACTGATTGTAAGTGAAAGCTGAAACTGCTGTTCTTTTGTGACTACCTGAAAATAAATGATCAGTAACTATCGTCTAGGAGGATTCTCATCACACAGAGGACTCTGCATCTATTTTTAACTTTTAAATGTGTTTAACACCTTGATCTTTGTTTGCTGACATTTGTGAATTAAAGCGTAAAGATGCTGATACTTCATAGAACAAGAAACAATTCAAGTGAAAGCTTGTAAGAGAAATCGCAAAAGAGACCCTTTAGGGGTCTCTCCCTAGTTAGACAACTGATGAAATAAGGTGGCCTCATCATCCTAATCGTATGTATAAGTTGCGTAAAAGAAGCAGCTACAGTGATCAGAGTGGGGCAAATGTAAAGGAAAAATTACGAAGTAAAAGTAAAAAGAGAAGGAAAATATTCAGTTGACTGTACTTCTTGTATGTTTGTAATATGTAACAGTTTAATAATCATGGACTATACCTGTATCAGATGAGGTTAACTGGGTTGAGTTTAACATTTTGAAAACGTTTCTGTAGGAAATAAGAGCCTTGAAAAATGGTGAGATGCTGAACTGCTGCTCAGAAGGACTGCAGCCGTGGTTCGTTCTTCTCTGTGGTAGCCTGGTTGCTATGCTGAACTGTGTCAGGCACAGTCTAGAACAGCCTGAAGGTCGGGTCTTAGAGAAAAGCTTTGCAGTGTTGTTTAAATATAATCTTTTGATCTACCGTGTTTGCTGCCCAAATTACCTTAAATGAAAGTGCTGGAAATATTACTTAGGGAAATCGCAGCTTAGTGATTTATGAGTCACTGGTGATTAAATACAACTTCTGAGAAAACTCCATAAGGAATTCAGAGCACTAGTTTTATTTTGATTGAAGAGTCACAGCAACATGCCGTCATTTCTTGCCCCTTTACTATTTTTATTTCTGTGATAACAGGATTGTAGTAAGCCATACATGATTTACAAGGAATTGAGCAGGAGAGAAGGAAAAAAGCATATAGACTGCTATGGGGAAGCAGAATGCAGAGAAGTCTAATTTTGAACTCTGTGGAGGTTTAGAGTAGGTTTCAGGACTCAAACTGTTTGTTTATTTTATAGGACTTTCTGCACATGCACATGTGGAACTTCCTTACTACTCCAAATTCCTTCTGATAGCTGCTTACCTTGCCTCCTACAATCCTGTTAGGACAGATAAGAGGTTCTTTCTTAAGGTAATGACATTTTTTTTCTTAGTGCTGTATGCTGTATGCCTGTACGCTACTTTAAGCAGTTTAAAACTCTTGACAGCTCATTTTGAGGTCTATTTTGTATGTAACTCATTTGATTTGATCATAAGTTTGTCTGTGGATGACATATCGTGATTTGTAATGATCAGTTGGTCATTATGAATGTTTAATAAAACCTACTTGCTCTTCAGCCCAAAACATGCCTAATACTGATATAACACAAGTGTTGTGCCTTGCATTTGAGAGTTAATAGGGCTCTTTTCTGAAGATTTTAGTCGAGTGTCGGCAGGGTCCTTGGGTGTCAGCCACATTTAGATTTCAGAGGAAGATACAAAACACAACAGTATATTTCACTGAGTTCGCCCTTAATGAAGTAAAAGGGCATAGCATGTTGTTAACTTATTTATACAGTTTTAAATTTTTGAAACAAAAACCTACAAACACTTGCTTTTGCAGAAGATGTGGTGCCATTAGCAGGCACTCGTTATGCTGAAGTGAAGGTAATGCATGTTTTAGGATTAATGTATTCATTCTCTGCACTTGACCACAGACCAAGCCTCTTTTTCTGTAAGTGTTCGCTGTGTAGAGGTTGATTCGCCTCCTCACCCCCCCCCTCCCCTTTTGGACTACATCTTGGTCATGCTGCAAATGAGTGCTATGGTGCCACTGTTTGTAATCTGTCTCCCAGAACTTACCAGGGATCTGTATGCACCTGCAAGTCTGCCTCACTGCATTGTTTTTGAGGTCTGATTTTGGTAAAATACAGGCAGGAGGCAGGAAGAAAGATCTCAGAAAAGTGATTGGGCAGTCGTTTTCTATGCCTTTACCAACCTCAAGGTATTTGACGTCATTACAGTGTATTAATGTGTGTAAATAATATGGTTCTCATGGCAGAACAGAGTAAACAATTGGAAAAAAAAATAAGAACAAGAAGAGGTGAGAGGTTTGTAATTCGCTTGTTGAAAAACTTCCCTCTCGAACAAAAAGTTGTAAGTACATGTTTTGAGAAGTTTAGTGCAGTTCCCAGTAAGGGTATACTAGTACGTTATTAGTTTTAAGTGTGAATTTCTGGTATGATCCTTCAGTGAGCTTTCTCTCTAGTCGTTTCTTTAGAAAAATCAGAGGATTACTTGTAGTAAGTGCAGACTGACAAGTTCTCTTTATGGACAACGTTTGATTTTTCACTTGGCAAAAGCAGTTTCCTTGTAAGAGTTTTACTTGCTGAAAGAAAGAATGTTAAGGAAAAATCTGAGCAAAATCAATCCTGGAAGTCAAAGAAACAGGAAAGCCTACAAGAATCAAGTCAGTAAAGCATGTTACCAAGAACTGCCGCATCTTTCTTGCTTGTGGTCACCTTCTCAATTTTCTTTTTCTCTATCCACTTTGTTGCAGTATCTATAAAGTTAGTTTCCACATCTTGCACATGAGCCTTACTAAACCTTTAGAAGTAACTGCAACGTGAACTTCTAAGGTGTTTGAAGCAGAGTCTGCACGGGCATTTCAATCAATAAAATGAAATATTTTCCCAATAATTGGTGAAGCAGGGGAAGTTATCATTCCTGCCAAGGGGGATCATTTGAGAGCAATTAGCCCTTCATTGGGTGCTAACATGAAGTTCAGAAATAGCTGTTTCTCAAAGCTCAAAACTTTTGGAGAAACCTTCGAGTTGAGTGTTTATATGAGTCATGTGGACTGTAAAAATAGGATTTGCTTTTGTCAGGGTTGTAATGAAATTCAAAGTAGATTACAGATTTTTTTTTTTTTTGAGTAATTAACTAAGGCCTTCCAGATAGCAAAAGGGAGATAAAACAAACGAATGGTCTTTGCGCTACTGAGCTGCGCTACTGGTATGTGTTACATTAGCCCAGAGCTTAAGATAGAGCTACAGTCTGTAATGGCCTGGAATGCTAACAACCTCATAGAGAAATGAAGTAACAGTCTACAGTGATGTTATTAGTTATGTGGAAACTCAAAAGCTTTGTGACAAATTAAGTGAAAAATAGAAAGTAGTTTTTAAAAGGTAATTTTAAAGCAAAAGAGAATAGTGTTATATATAAAGTCTCCATTTTGTTCATTAAATAGAAAACAGCACTGAAAACTGAAAATTAGCTCTGAATTTCATGGATTCCTTTGTATTTGCAGAGAAATAGTGTACCTACGACTCTAATTTGGAACACCTTTGGTATAACTGAAAATACACCCTATGGAGATCCCAGTATAACCTTTATAATGCATGAACAGTTTGTTGTGATCCATCTCACTATCATGCCACATAACCTCATGGTTGATCACTTTTCCCCTCCAGCTGGTCTCTGTAACGCCAGCAGTGCTCTTTTCCAAGGCATGAGGAAGAGATTATTTCTCTATCTGCATGTGTCATGCATTAACTGAATGAACTATCAGTTTTTCAGTTTGGCAGATTACTTAAAGGAAACTTAAATCTCTACAATATTACACTCTTTAGAAGTCAGTCAAAAAAAGCCAGTTACTGTGATCTTCTTGGCATGGCTGAACATTGAAGTCCACGAATACCCAAGTGCAAGATTTTAAACGTTAGAATGAAAACTGAATTCCTTCACTGAAGATATTTATCCTTGATTCACTGAGCATGCTAGTAAGGTAGTCTTTCCTTAGGTAAGGTTCTCAGGTGATATTTTGAGAAATAGCACTCAAGTACATTTAAGGAATATTATATCTAGGCCTCTCCACTAATTTTACATGATTTACTTATTTAAATAAAATATTTCCTACGTTTGTCTTTTGTGGTGTCATTCTGTTTTTTTTCCAATGTCATCTTTCATCTCTCTCTTTTTATTTTTGTTCCTCCTTCTCATTTATGACAGGTAGTTTACTACATTCTGTGAGATTAAGCGCTGCTCCTTTATGAAAGATGTTCCTTTTTTTCCCCATACTTGCTGTTTGTCCTTCAACTCCTACACCTTTAAATATCTTTGTATTGGTTTGATTTACCTCCTGGCTGTTGTTCTGTCAACTTAAATACCGTCTGAATTCTTAAAATGAAGCATAGAAAAGATAAATATTCATTCAAATGGATGCGTTTTAAAAGTCAAGTGGCTGTCACTTAAACATTTTTGGAAAGGGGAAGAAACAAAGCATCTGTCTTTTCATGAGGCTGATGGAGGGTGGGAGGAAGGTGGAGGCATGTGGAAAGCTCATATTAAAAAAAAAAATTATCATCTCCTCTGATCAGTCTCTGATTAGATCAGAAAACAAATTTATGTGTTTTCACAAAAAAAATACGACTTTTTGGTTTTGTACCGCTTGGACACAATGAAGTAAGAAGTAAGGCAAATGTGATTTTCGGGTTTCTGGGAAGAAGGGTTACTGCTAAGAAAGAAGCAGAACCAAAATAGTGTGCTACGTGTAATGCACGAATCTTAGTCTTTGATTCTGTCATGGCTATAGAACAAACAAAATAATTTGCATATCGTATTTGCTTTTGTCTTTCTTTTTTATAGCATCATGGGAAAATTAAGAAGACCAACTTTATGAAGAAACATGAGAAGGTATATATTTTGCCTTTCTGTTCTAAGATCAAGAACAAAGATTTTTCTTCTGTGGTTATGCTGGTTTAGTGTTTTGCTTTGCCTCATATATTCTTGACTGTAGAAGTGAAGTAACAATTACCAGTGCATTTGTTGTATTTCATAATAATTTATGTATGATAAACACGTTTTTACTTGATTGGAATTTAACTATAGCGTTAATTTGTCTCCTAAAGCCATATTTTTGTGTGTGACTAAATTTGCACTAAAGCTATTATTAAACAGCCTCATAAATGGATGAGCCTGGTCTTAGAATTTCTCTCAGGGATGTTAGAGTAACAGGTGATTAACAGTTTTGACAGTTAAGTCACTTTTGTTCCTAGTGATGCAGTGAAATATAAGAGCTTAAATTTAGGTGCTGAGGATTAGAAACTTTGCACTCCGATCTGTTGTTTATGTAGAAAGAATAAAGTGACCAAAAATGTTGCTGTTCCATCAGACTTCAGACTAAACTTTTCATGGATATGAATAGCTAAACACCATTGATTTCGGTGGAGCTGCACCAGTTTATTCTGACAGAGGCCTCAAACACTAGGAAGAGCAAGTACATGTGTTATGTGTATTTATAAATTTAATGTAAACAAAAAACAAGTTTTAACGTTTATAACATGTTGATTTATTTTCAAACAAAATATACACACCTAGAGGTACGCTTGTGTAGACTGTGGTACTACAGTTTTACAGTGAAGGAAATTGAAATACAGGCATAAAAGACCACGTATGTGACATTGCAAGCAGAAGATTCATTTTCTTCAGTTGGTGTGACAGTTTATATCAGTGTACCTTGACTCAGAGAAATTTGTCTAAAGTCAAATTTACAGACTGGATTCACCCAGCTCAGAGTGAGTGCCTATAAAAGCTAGTGGACTTTTATAGACAGTGCAGAGCAAATGGTTGCAGGCTTTGGAGCTTAGGATGTGATTCATCTCATCCTAAGTAGATTCTCCATTTAGTCAGAAGAGCTGCACCATCAACTATATTGATTAGATTTCTACTGACTGTAATGGGAGCTTAGAAAACTCGTTTGGCTGTACATACTTGCTTGGCAGGAAGCTAACATTAGATGAAATAAATCCTACCTTGAAAGTTTAGGCAGAGCCAGACTAAAAATCTGTTTCTTGATTCTTAACTCTTTGTTCAGTACAGAGTCTAATACTTTCTTATCAGAAAAAAATCAATCTTCTGAGTTCCTCAAGAGAAAGAAAATGCCCTTATTGTTCCATTAATTGTCTTATTGCTGGTAACAGCAGAATTCTTTGTGTGGTTGATCTGGAGCAATGTTTTGCCAGTGTAGTCATTTGAGAGGTCTCCCCTGGTAAACTCCTTTTGCAGGAGTATGCTTTCTCAGGTGTCGGTCCCCCAGTACATCACGTTTGTTGATGTGGTGGTGGTGGTGGTGGTGTGTGTGTGTGTGTGTGTATTTGTTTTTTGAAAAGACTGTCTAGTATATCTGCCTCAGTTCTAATGTAGGATTCATTTGTATGAGTGTTTCTAGCTTACGTAACTTAAAATGCTGCATTTGTTTAACACCAGGGAAGTTCAATGCTTTCTGCTCAAAAAACTGAGAAGTATAGTTCCATCTTTAACGCTATGATAAAAAGGTTGAAAATTCAAGCAATTCAGATTAAGAACTTGCTCCCTTTCATGCAAGTGATTAAGTTTGGGTTAAGCTTTTACTCTTTAAATTTGTGATTCTTTTGATTCTTGTTCTTTTTTAAGAAATTTGGTGATTTCTTAATCACCAGGACTCTGACACTGTAGATAAAGGGCACAACCACAAGTAGTGGCAACTAGTGAAAAATCGTGTTGAACTAAATGTGGAAGATAACTTTTTTTATGTTGAAGTGACATGAGGGGCCCCTTGAATTGTATAAAAACTATTTTTGAGTGTTACTTTGCCTTAGTGTTACTCTGCCTTAGCTCCTTGCGGAAGATTCTTATGGGCCTCATTCTCTACCATTGCCTGTTTGGAGGTAGTTCTAAACTGTTTCCATTCTAATGGGAATTCATTTCTGCTTAAGAAGTCTAATAAAATGTAACTTCTAGGCGAAGCATTTCGGTGTTATTTAACTCTTCTGGCTTTTCCCCAAGAAGCCATTTCCAGCAAGTAATTTGAAAATTTAAAACAATATTCTGCCAAAGCAGAGAGCTGATAGTAGTAAGGACAAGAAACTCGTGAAGTAACTGTATCCTAAAGGTAACTTCGGGGGTTACTGCATGCTAACTGTGCTTGCTAGCTGCTTGGAGTGAACGCGTTTCAACTATTGTATGTTTATTGACCTTTTTTAATTGGATAGCAACGAACATGCTTCACAGACCTGGCATGTTTAGAACGAGAAGCTTACACCACACATGCGTTCTGACTGGGGGTATTGTGCTGAAGTGGTGGATTAGGTTCATCTGTAAAGAGGGTTTCAGTAATGTTTTGACCAGTTATTTTCAATATTTTTTGCACTACTTTCTTTGTTAACCAAGAGATAGCTTTGGGGACACCTCCTGGATTTTAAAAGCTAAAACATGTATTGGAAATGGCTTTTTGTTATGCTGAAGAAATGAGTAGTCATGTTTTACTGATAACTGGCACCACAGGAGTGCTGGGCAGTGTGTTTGAGAGCTGTCCGTTCCCCACATCATTTTGAAACAAACTTTCTTTTCCAAATTCTTCTTTAATCTTGCCTGTGCAGCTAGTAAGAATAAATCAATGTACACTACAAAAAAGGAAGTTGAATATCAAAGTAGAGAGAATGAAACGCAAACTTAAAAGGAAACAAGCGTTTCTCACATCAGAACTTCGACGGTCTCAGTCAGAAATAAACCTCAGTAGTCCTAACAGTGCTGCCTGTGGAGAGCAAAGTCTAATATTACCGGTTCTGCTCTATGAACTATCTTTCTCCTTTTTGTAAAATTTGTTATTTTGAAAATATTTAACATTGCAGTTCAGGAGCTTATGCTTCTGTTAAAATTAATGTTACTACATGTGATAGTCTGTAATGCCCAGAACGTCCACCAGTGTCAGTTGAGATGTAGAGAAAAGTGTATATGATGCAAAGAAGGATAAGCAACAGGAAAGCTCTGTAAATGCAAAATTCAGTAAATATGCAGTGTCCTGATAATGCAGTTTTTGGTCTGAAGCTGGCGTGTAGCTCTGTGTACAGGAGCACAGCCAAGAGATGGAGGGATTATCCCCTTTGTCTCAGTGCCCAGCGAGGGCTGGCTGCGGTGTGAGGGAAGGTGAGCTGGGAGCAGCGCAGTAACAAGGCAAACATCAGTACCCTCCTCATCCCCAAGGAGCCAGGATGCGGTGCAGCAGGGTCAGGGCCAGAGGCAGCGATCAGGGGCAGACAGAGCTCAGTGATCACCCAGCCAGCCTACCGTGACAAGGCAGGGCAAAATTGCGGAGATGTGAAATAGAGCACAGATAGAGCATCTACACAGCTGTGATGTTTGAATGTAGTTGCCTGTATTTCAATTTGTGCCTGTTGCCTCTTCTCCTATCACTGGATACTGCTGAGAAGAGTCTGGCTCTGTCGTCTTTACTCCACCCAGGAGTTGTTTATATACATTGGTAAGATCCCCCTGAGCACTCTTTTCTCCAGGCTGAACAACCCCAGCTCTCCCAGAGTCTCTGCGTGTGACAGATGCTTCAGTTCCTTTCCTCGTCTTTGTGATCCTTCTCAGTTTGCAGATAAGACAGTTGAATGTAGATGTCTACAAGGACATGAGATAGCGAAGCTCCTGTGCTACTCGGAGGAGATGTAGCCAGGGTAGCCTGGAGGGTGGTTTGCTGACCAAACATGTAGATGCTGGCCATCTACTATAGGGTTTCTTTGGCTGCATTGATGGGTTATTGAGTATAATAGGAGGCAAACTCACGTGTCTTAATCAGCAAGGTGAATCCTACCCTTGATGTCCGTATAGCAAAGTGGAAAATATAAGTCAGTTTAGAAGCTTATGAGGAAAGAGGAATGGATGGAGAATTTGAACCTTGGCAGGCAATGAATGCAACATTTAATGTCGCTGCATGCCAGGGCGCAGCAAGTGCAGAGCAGCTCCCTGTGGGGAGGCGAGCTGGGAGCCGAAGGCAGCTGCGGCAGGGGCTGGGCAGGCCTGCAGCGACAGGGTGCAGCCGAGCAGAGCGGAGTGCTGGCCGCAGCAG